CGTCATCCCTTTTTCCTCTCTCTCTCTCTCTCTCTCTCTCTTTCTCGATTCTTCCTTGCACAGCGTCTCTTTCAACCCTCGCGACGACCGTCGTCGCTTCGGCATCTCACCACTACCATCGCGCCGACATGTGACAGACCGGCTAGTAGTAGCGGCGGCTTACATCCCCGCCCACGCCGGATCCCTTGCCCGAGAGCTGGAAGCTCTCTTTCGGCACGGGATATTTACCAACATCCAAGATGGCGGCATAATCTCGCCGGCTTTTCGCAAGAAGAGCCGACGACGACGAGCTGCCGCGCGGCGCGGTCCCTTTTTCGCCAGTAAACACTCGGCTCTTTCGTCGTCGCCGTTTCCCACTCGGAGAAGATTCTTACTGACTTTGTCTTCTTCTTCTTCTTCTTCTTCGTTCTCTTTGTGCCCTTTGTGAGCTTTGTGCCGCAATACCACACGCACTTGGCTCACCGCAAAAGCGGCGCAGCCGCGCTCCTATTTTCCGACGTCGATTACGCGACGCGAACGCGTCGCTTTCTCGCGAGATCGAGGATTTTAGGTCGCACTAGCGCTGTGTAGACGACGGAATGCGTCAGCGATTCCGCAATCCGAGAACCTCTTTAACACGCGCGTTGCAAATATTTCTAAGAGAGTACGTCTTTGATAGAACGTGTCTTAGAATTGTTTTACAAAGCAATATAGTATAAAGATTTATGTTTGTTAGCGTTGTAATGCTTTACAATTTTCCTGCGACATGATTTTAACTGATATATTTTGTAAAAAAAATATGAAACTTATGTTCTTATTAGATGCATATAAAGATGCTTCTACATACAGAATGCCTCGCAATCTTAATTTTAAAGATAGATTCTTTGATAATAGCATTTCCTGAACTCGCAATCTAAATTTTAATGACAGACTTTTGGATCAATTTAAGTCCATTTTTTTCGAAAAACATGTAGCAAGATATCTAATAGCTTTTCGCAGACTAAGCTCTAAAAGAATAAATAAACTCACATAATACCATGTTCTTTAATTAATTTAAAATAGAATTTAATAGAATTTCAATAATTTAAAGCTTAGTTACAAAAATATATGATTTAAAAAATTAGAAAATTGTAATAAATAATAATTTTTCTCGACATTTTTGTTAAAAAAAAGTTAATCAGACTCTCTGTTCTTAAAATAAAAATTGTCAGTTTAAGGAAATGTATATTTTGCACTAAAATAACTGTACGTATTATTAAAATTTTCTTACAAAATTAAATCTGTGTATATATATTTGGACACTCAAATAATAAGCAATTTATAGTATTCCAAATATTATAATTTTCTACTTAAAAGAATATTTATTAAATCGTGTTTAACATTAGTTGTAACTTTCACATTAATCGTTCGGTCAATTCTTTGTCAGAGTCAAACCGATCAAATCGAATCAAATTCGATTCCGAATCTAGCACAAATTCTCTCCGGTGTTCGTAGTTTCCGTAGCCGCGAGCGTAAAGTCGACACCCGATCGCGGTTCGCCCTGGAATTTCCGGAAGATTTCGTCCGAGGAGAGAGCGACGGCGACGGGGACGCGGACGGGGGAAGAAATCAGGAGGTAAATACGAGCGGTGTGAGAGTCCAGGAGTAAGAAGCAATCGAATCGAATGGTGGAACTCCCGGAATCCGCAATCCGCCGCGAAGTGAATGGCGAACCTCTGAGAGTTCTATGGAGTCGGGGTGTGCGCCATCCCCGCGCGCGCATTTCCCTTCCCACCACTTCGTCTTCATCGTCGTCGTCGGTCTTAACCTAACCAGAACGCGAAATTAAGGCACGGTAATCGCTGAATCGGCGGGGAAGATCCGAAAGGCAGGAGCCTTTCAACACTTTTCTGCGAGATTCTCGCGCGAAAAGAATTCCAGCGTAAAGAATCGCGCGAAAATATTTTTATTGAACCGCCATCGTCGATTTTCTTCTCCCATGAAACAAAGTGCAATCATTGTTACTTCTGACTTCTTAATCAAGTGTGGCGGTTGAGCTGGTGTGTCAATTTTATTCGATGAATAAATAAAAGTAAAGACTGTGTGTTCGAAAACAATTACATTACAACTCAGATTGTACTGAAACAACAATAGTATCCGATTTCGATTATATCTTTTTATCTTCTCTTGCATATTTGCTTTTATCTACGAATATTTTAATCGAACGAAAACGCCGTTTTCTTTACAAGAATATCGGAGCACTCAATTACTCCTCGAATTAGCAAGAGGAAGTAAAGTGGGATGCTAAAGTGCAAGTAGACAGATGCACGAGATAGATATGGCAATATGTAGCGCAAGACATCGAATAATAATCATTACAGCGCGTCTCGCGTGTCGTGAGATATCAGAAGCAGAGAGAGAGAAAGAGAGAGAGAGAGAGAGAGGAGGAGAGAGAGAGAGAGAGAGAGAGAGAGAGAGAGAGAA